AAAATTGATGTGAAATTTTAATTATTAAATATATTAAATATTTTGTTTGTTCTTTATGAATAATATTACAGTCAACAATCCTCTCTTGTAAATTTCTTCATAATCTTAACGTGATAGTTCGTATTTGATCAGTTTATAATAAATTTTATATAAATTTATATAGATCTTACTATTAATTATATGTTTATTTACGAACTATTACGTAAATTGTGAAAAAATATATACGAGAGAATGTTTTCGTATAGATTTACTTTTAAAATGGTTGCTCGTGTCTGAGGACAACCAATTTGGCTATAAAAACACGGCGTACCCATTTACGTTCCGCCCTTTTTCTCAGCTGCATCTACATTCACCTTTTTGTCCAATCATTCCCTCAGCGCTGGTAGTTACACAGAACTACAAAACCCTAAACCCTAACCAGATTTCTGTGTCTTCGCTAACGATGGCTGAGCTGAAGCTCTCAGAATCACGAGACTTAACTCGAATCGAGCGTATAGGCGCACACTCCCACATCCGTGGTCTGGTCTTGACACACCTTAAACCGCGGGATATATCGAGGGCATGGTGGGCCAAGTTGGCCCGCAAAGCTGCTGTTGTTATCCTTCAGATGATTAGAGATGGAAAAATCGCCGGTCGGGCCATCCTCATACGGGCCAACCCGGAACCGGAAAACCGCCATAGCAATGGGCATGGCAAAATCCCTCGACTCGAAACCCCCTTCGCCATGATCACTGGCTCGGAGATTTTCTCCCTCGAAATGTCGAAAACAGAAGCTTTAACGCAATCCTTTCAAAGGCTAGTGAGTCAATTAAAAAGAAACGAGAGTCATTGAAGGGGAAGTTGTTGAGGTCCAAATTGACGCCCTGCCAGCAGGAGTTGCAGCGAGACGGGAAAGTTGACCCTCAAAACGACGGAGATGGAGACCGTTTATGATTTGGGGACGAGATGATGAGGCTTGGGAAGGAGAAGGTACAGAGTGGGGACGTGATTGCGATTGATAAAGTTTCTGGGAAGATTACGAAGCTTGGAGATCGTTTTCGAGGTCCAGAGACTATGATGCTATGGGACCTCAAACTAAGTTTGTTCAGTGTCCTGATGGGGAGCTGCAGAAGAGGAAAGAGGTTGTGCATTGTGTACGCTTCATGAGATTGTGTAATCAACAGCAGTATTTCTATCTTATTTGCTGTTTTATGCTTTGAAGTTAAAATTTTATTTGAATTGATTTGGTTGCTGTAGCTTTAGATAGTTTTAGTTTTTTTTAAGTGTTAGTATCTATAAATTAATCAGAGACCTTGGAAATTGTGGACACTCTAAAAATAAAGTTAGACTATGTTTTTAAGGTCTAATAAACAAAATAAAAGATGAGGAAAGAAAAGCTTTAAGAGATTTTGATGTGGCATCGAAATTGGAGGTAAGAGATTGGTGTTTTTGGGGTTGTTGCAGAGTTGAGCGTAATAAGATGGGTAATGCTGGGTGAGAGCAATAGGGATATCAATTTCTCTTGGTGTGTATTGACTTTAAGATTGGGCCTAGGCTGGAAGAAGATGCGAAGATGATTTAGTGTTTGTCAGTGCAAGAGAGATGGAGAAAGCGAAAAGCAAAGTTGGATAGAGATTTAATTATAATAAGGTAGTGGGGTAAATGTTGAAATATTGGAACACTAGCAGAGGATGTTGAAGAAATATTTTGCAAATGTTGATAAATAGGATAACAAAACCTTGCTAATAATCTAGAATCCCTTTGCAGTGCTTTGAGTTTGAACGAAGACATCACTGTGCCATGCAACTTTTGTAGTTAGGACTTGGTTCAAATTGGTGGACAATTGAAATATTGAAGATACATTATTGTTGAAAGTGAACAGCTTGCTTGAGAATGCACACTAACTTGGGACCATGGATAAAAGTCTAGCTGGTTAAAAATTCATAAGCATATCTTTATATTCAGAGTAATTCTATGTGCATAACAATGTGTACTATCCATACTAACTAAAATTGAAATTTTTATTCTATATTTAAATTGTCATTACTGTAGATATCAGTTTAAAGAAACAGTTAAGAAGTGACCCCCTACCAAATTGAGTCATTAAAACACTGATAGGTCCTGGGATTTTGTACATAACTGTGTGCTCAATAAATATGAAGCTCAAATTGCACAGTGACCTGAAATGAATAACGTTTTGCTGGTAAAGCTTTAACATTCCTTATTGACAGAAAGAATACGTCATAAAGTGGAGGTTAATTAAATAGACAAAATTCTGCTCTATGGATGCCTTGAAAGAACTAATTCAAACATCAAGAAAGAAAACATTGGATACCTGAGATAACAGATTCTTTAGTTTTTCTTTTGCTTACAACCTTTCCAGGTAGCTTTCTTTTACTAATAGAGCATCAGCGCTCAAGGTTCTTAAGTTGTTAGTTGCTAGGGTACTCATCAACTTAATTTCTTAAGGCAACGATGAAAGCACAGATTGACAGTGCTTAATTTATGTGATAGCTGTTTTACAATGGAATGTCAACTTTTAATGGTCACTTTAACTTTTTGTTATTCCTTCTTAACTCTATAAACTAACGATTAACAGTTATATTGTTCAACTCTCTCTGGCATGACTGTTGTAGAGGAGATATTTTGTCTAAAGTTGTTATTGTTTGACATTTGGACATAATTTTTTTGTCAGCCTAGTGTACAAGCTTCTTAATATTTAGATTTCCAGGCAGTATAGATGAGAGTCTTTGAACTGTTGAGGGCTTATTATTTTCCATAATCTTTTCTTTAACTCATTACTCTTTTTTCCAGAACACAGGGATTTTTGGCTCTCTTCCTGGTGACACTGGTGAAATTCGTGCAGAAGTACGAGACCAAATTGACACGAAGGTAGCGGAGTGGAGGAGGAAGGAAGGCAGAAATTGTGCCAGGTGTCCTGTTCATTGATGAGGTGCACATGCTTGACGTTGAGTGCTTTTCCTTCCTGAACGTGCTCTGGAGAATGAGATGGCTCCAATATTTGTTGCTACCAACAAGGGATTACTAGAATCAGGTTACTAACTACAAAGCTGCTCATGGAATTCCAATGGATCTCCTCGATCGCCTACTCTCATCTCAACTAAACCTTATACAAGGGATGAAATGCGCAAAATTCTAGACATCAGGTGCCAGGAGGAAATGTGAAATGACCGAAGATGCAAAGCAATTGCTGACTCGTGTTTGGTGAAGGAACATCCTTGAGATATGCTTCATCTCATCTCCGCTGCTGCTTTAGCATGTCAGAAACGGAAGGGAAAGATGTGGAGATTCAGGACATTGATCGTGTTACGCTTATTTTTGGATGTGCAGAGATCAACACGTATTTGATGGGTACCAGAGTCAGTACATGAATGAAGTGTCCCTCGGAATGGTGATGATGATGATGTGAATGCCATGGTTACAGAATAGTTCCTTTATACTTGGAGATTTTGTGATGATGCTTCTCTCCTGCTTTAATATGGTTAGCACCGACCTTACGAATGGACACCTGTGATAAAAGTGTAATCAGTATTCGTGGACTTTCCATGTCTTGGTATGATTCTGTAATCATTTGCAGATTTTTGCTTCAATATAATTATGTGACAGACTCGAAATTGGTGAAAATTAGGACGGGCTTTGATGTTATTTACTCTTCCTTGTGAACGTAATTGCATAATTGATGATATTAACCTCTTTTCTCTCTTTTTAAATATTTTGCAATGTGTACATCATGCATTTTATTTTGGTCAATGTTTTGAAACCAATCTGGCGCTAAGCCGTCAAAGTAGCTGGGTCTTGAGTTAACAGGTTTGACCGGCAGGTCAAATTGGTGACAACATAAAAAATTAATTTTTATTTCAGCGCATGTTAGCATGTGTGGACGCCGGCCTTTTTGCCCTTTTTCTGGTTGTTTTCTCAACCAAAATCACCCCCTCACCATCATTGGAATCCTCATTCTCTCCTCTCAAAACCTACCCTTTATCCTCTTTCATCACTTGCCGATCGTCGACCACGCAACCATGTCTATCGGCTGTATTTTGCTTAATTTTGACTGTTTTGAGCTATGACAACTCCAACAACCACCACCCTTAGACTCAGTGCCTACTCCCTTACAAACTCCCAAAGTTCACTACCATTCCCCCCACTAATTGCTGGCAATCAAAAGCTAGGGTTTCACCATTTTTTGGCCAAATTCTGGCGACTCTAGGTACTAAAACTTAATTGACAACACCGCCCGACTCACCATAATCCACCCCTCAAAACCCCCTAACCCCGATTCTTGTTTGACAATCGAATTCTGCCAAAGTCGTCGTGATTTGAAATTGGGATTCACCCGTTTCCCCCAAAACTGGTTGGACCGATAAGTTGCTACAGTAAACCTGGTCCAACCGCAGGTCATACGGGTGAATTCACACTCTGTTTTAAGGCTAGTTTCTGATCGAATCAATTCAAACCGCCCACCGGCTGGTTTTAAAACATTGATTTTAATATTACAAATACTAACGCCCAAGTGGAACTTGTGAAAGAGAGATTGTGAGCTCTGTTGAAAGGTAATAATAACTCGCTTATTATATTAAACGATGTGACTTGGATGATGATTGATGAGTACTTTTATACTAGTTAAAATTTCATCAACTGGGATATGAGACTTGAGTTAAACAAATTTAGAAAGGCAAGCACCACTCTTATTCAAAAGATGTTAATGGAGGAATTTGAGTAATATCTTAATTTGAAATCATAGAAGTTATCGTAAATAATTTATAATTAAGATTTCTTTATTTCTAATTATTATTTATAATAACAATTTGAAATGGTGATGGTCCATTTTATGCGCAGCTGAGATGATGTAATTATCATCCCATTCCCTATTCTGCCAACGATTTTTTAAGTATTGGTTAAAAGAAATATTTGTTTCACGATGATGAATCCTTCATTTCAACTAGAGTTATTGCATCTTTTATGTAGGGAGAGCAAGAGAGACTTACTACTTTCATGCAAAAGTTATAGCTGCTTCTAAGGTGAACTTTTATTAATCAGAGTCTGCATCTTCATGTTACACAAGGTGACAATTATTTTAGACGCTGAAATCTTTTATAATCTAACTGGCTACACTTCTATACATCTTTCAGCATTTAAACAACCATGCCCCATAAAGCATTACAATCGAAATAATTAACCAGAAATCCGGAAGTAAAAAGCAACTAAAAGTTGCGGGATAACCTCGTTATGCAGATGTTGATGAAGTGAAACAGGTTTTGGAAATTCTACTGCTTATATGCATCAAATTCCATGATCGTCTAGCTTAGCTCTTCTGTGATTAATCTGTCATGATTTTCAACAAGTTAAAGACCATTAAGGTTTTAAGATTTTAATACCAAAGGCCCCAGCACCTGATCATAAGATAAAAGGTGCTTCACCCAAAAAAAAAAAAAAATTGAAAAAAATGTAGCCATGAAGCGAAATAAACATAATATATTATTCCTATAGTTACAAAAAACAAGTAATACTTCACCTTTTGTATAGTTTAAGTTAAGTTTGCAGGTACTTTAGTGATATTTATAGGCTTCAGGATCAAGGGGAAGGATGATCTTCATTTGGTGATCAATGTATGTTTCTAAAAAGATATCTTGCTTTCAAACCAACAATAAATACATGTTGACAAACGAATCTCACAAATCTGACATGGTAGTTGATAATTGGTAAAATTTATCAGAAACCAATTATCAGTTGTCACGTCGGGTTTGTAGGAGAAAATTTGTGAAATTCGTTTGTCAACGTAGTATTACCCTCAAACCAATTCAAAGCAATATGAGCATGGCAAGAAATGTACATGGAGGAGCATGATCCTATGCCAATTTTGACATGAAGAGAAGAGTTGATATGTCGTTTCATTATATAACTTAATCTCCACTACCAACTTAGGCAATGCTGAATATAAATGATGGTGCGTGCTTAGTCAAGTCAAGTACCAGCAAAAGCCATTAATATGCCATTCTTTATTTACCCACCCAACATCATCATTCTTCCATCATGCAAAAGTGTTAACACATGAAGAATTATCCTTCAATCAAGCACTTTTTTATGCCCCCAAAAGAGAAGATAATAGACTACTTTTATATGTAAAGTGAAAAAAGCTAAAGCTAAAGAAAATCAAACAATTGATAATTAATCCAAGATGCTAATACTCTGTCGACACTCATACTCTTTAACTCCCATAACCTTCAACTAAAATTGAAGAATCTTATCAGTTTTTACCATCATTATTAACTCCCCACATTTTTTTCTTTTTTTCACTTGATTTGTTGTCAAAAGTAATTACCATGTGCATTATGATATATATATATATTTTTTTTTATAATCCGGTGCTCAAATCAGTTTACACACATTTCAACTAATCTTCAAAACCTATTAAACATCTTATAAACTCAATATTTCAGGTAAGCTAGAACATGGTAAGTAGACTAAGGTGGTTTGAACCTAAAGGGAGCCCCTTGGGGTTCATTATGATGCATTCAGCAACTGTAATTTATGAAATGCCACTCCTTGATGGTGTCATAACTATCATTTCTTATGAGATCTTAATAGAGATTAAATTATTAATATAAAATCACTCTCGCCTCTCTTCAGCTCCAATTTTGACAACTTCACCCATCATAACAAAGAAAAGATTAATGATATCTAGGCCCCACTCCCCACTTATAAACCCAATATCACAGTAGTAACTTAATTTAATACAACCTTAACTCTACCCAAGGGACCATAAATATTTTACCTAAACCTATTCAAACATTATATTAAGCTGTTTTTCATGAAATAGGTAAAATAATAAGAAATTCCCATTTGGGTGAAAAAACCTGTTCATAATTTTAAATGTTTTCAATACATCCCTACCTAGAATAAAATAAAACTACAAACATACAAATATTTACCTTATCCCCAGGGACCTTGATCAGGATAATCGAACGGCACAGGAGACACCAAGCTCGAATCACGTAAATTCGGGTGCACGAAACCATATTTTTTAAGCACCTGATTATCCGCAAAATTTAACGCCTTCACCATCCCGCTCCAACACGTCTCTCCAGAATACATCTGATTGTGGTCCCCACTGCACGGTTGGCACCCCGTAAAGTGCGTGATAAACGGCCTCCTCCAGCTCCATCTCCCGCTCCCGGCGTCCTTCAGATACTGTTCCCTCTCCGCACCGTAGAACTCACTCACCTTCTCCGCGTGCCTCCTCCTTAACGTGCGCGACCCTCGCTCTATCTCTATATATTTCTCCGTTATATTATCATACGTCGGCAGTATCTCTACCCAATAACCTTCGAAATAAAATACGCCTTCTAAATAAATATTGTCATAATATTTTTCTTTCTCTTTGTATAGTAAATAAATCAGAGCCGCCTGATCGTCTGATTCCGGGAAGAGTTTGTCCTTGAACGTTGATCGTTGAATATGACCCCATTTCGAGTAATCCGGGCTGATGGGACCCATGTTAGCCCATGTCTCCAAGAAATCCATAGACCATTGACAGTTCCTTATGAGAAAAACGCCGGCGTTTAAGCTGGTCCAACTTTTATCCTCGTATATCATCCGAGGCCACCCGTGAACGACGACGTTGTGGTTCTTGTACCTATGTAAGGGGAGCTTGAACTCCATGTCGGAGAACAACGCATCCGAGTCCACCCACCAGATCCACTCGGCTTCCGGGTGAGCCAGCATCGCCGCTTTGACTATCGGTATCTTGGCCCAGAACGAGTTCATCTTCGGATTCAGTAACACGTTGTTGTAAAAAATATCATATCCGTGGATCCTACAGTAATCAACCTTGTTTTTAAAGAACCTCAAAAGTAAATGATCACCAATGGGATTCGTACACGGCGACGGCTGTGATCCCGTCACCATAACAATCCTCTCAGCCGCTCCGGCGGCGAACGACGGATGATACTTCAGCCACTCTCTTCTTTTCTCGTCCCAGTTTTTAACTTTCTTCCCAATAGTGTAACTCAACTGCGGGTCGTCGTAGAACGTTTCATCCGGAGGGTCGTATCGTAAATTAACACCTCCCATATCGCAGCCTCCTTGTTGTCGATCACTTGCAGCCTTTGATTCGGAGAGAGCATCAAAACGCTGAATAGAGGAAGAAAAAGTGGAGAAAGACCAGACAAGTAGTAGAGCCACAAATGCTCCGGAAAGAAAGAGACAGCCATCTGAAAGTGAGGATTTGTGACGTGTACTTGGTTTCGCCATTGAAGAAGAAGAGTACTCTTGAGAGAACATTCTTCAGTGTAGTAAACTATATAAATCTTTGACTCAGTGAGTGGCTCGCTCAGTTGTAGAGTGACATCTGTGTTCTTTGTCTTTGCTTGACCTAAATTTAGGGGGATTTGCAGACAAGATTGGTGTGGCTAAGTGGCTAAAGTTTGGTTGTGCTATTTAAGTAGGAAGCGTCGGTTTAGTGGCGCCGTGGGTGCTAAAATGCGCGGGATGTGATTAAAAGGTTAAAGTATGGCGTGAACTCCGTTGGACTATAACTTACGTGTGGGTCAGCGGGAATGACACGTTGAAGTGGAGTGCCGACAGTTTGGACTAGGTTTTCTTCATGAACTTTGTGTTTTGCCGTTCTTTACGGTTAATTGTCTGCTTAATTGATGTGTTATTGAAATTAATTAAAACTGTGAAACATATGACTCTCTGATACACAACAAATTAATAAAATATTTATCTAAAGATTTTGTCAGTAAGAGTCGACAAAGATAATGTTTAAAAATAATCAATCAAAATCTCAATCAATGAATTTATTTATTTATTGTTACCCCCGACCCGCAGGGAATTCCAGGATTATATATTACTTTTACTCTACTTATTTTTGGACTCAAATTTTTTAATTTACAAGAATATATATATATATATAAGGTAATTATGGGGGCATAAAAAGGTAATTGAAAATAGGTTATGTAAATGGGTAGGGATATAATTATAAATAATATATAAAGATAATGACTCCATTAAGTGAAAAGTAAAAAACTATAGCTCTTTCAATTAACTGAATTTTAAGAAAAATGACTGAAAATAGAAATTAAGTTGAAAAAACTAATAAGTTGAATAAGTTTTTATCAACTAAATAAATGGAATTACACGGATTTCAAAAAACCAAATAAATTCCAATATTTGCTTCTTTAATGGTAATTTCAACAAGTTAGTCATAAATTTCATACTCCATTGTTGAAATCCAGTTCTTTTATCATCCAAGCGGGAGTCACGGTTTTATTTAATATCAGAATCTCAATCTCTACCAGAATGAGCTCATAAACCTGAGGAAAAGCACTTTGCATTACCAAGTGACCTCTTCTCAAATTGAGTTAGAAACTATTGCTTTGTCAGTTTTTTAACATCTGATAATTGAATATGTTAATAACTCAAATTAAACTATGCTATATTTTTAAAATTTGAACGTCCTGATATTGTTTTGCAGGCGTCACTTTCATTTTCAATATTGAAAACTATCACACTATCTTATTAGAGCTCCTTTAAATCTCTCCACTTATCAAACATAAAAAACGTGACTCATAATATGTCAACCATAACATTCACTCAAAAATGGTTATGTGAAATTTATTTGTATATGACGTGCATGAATCATTTAACTCCATAAAATTCCAATAAAACACAGCGGCCCAGTTTAATTTTCCATATTTCTTGATTGATTTTGCATGCAATAAACAAAACATTTCGATATAAAATGGGTGCGATTTATTTATTTAAAAAAGTCTAATCAGAGGCAGGCATCCATGTTGAGTCAATTTAATTGCAGGAAGGGTCCTTGTAGGCACCCACAGACAAAGCGACGGCTCAGAGCCTCAGACAACATTTGGGCCCCCATCATGTGATCCTCTGACAATTCTGGCTCAACTATGATATACAATTAAATTTACTTGATCAAGTCATCAAGTACTGTAATTACAGTGACAATGGGGATCCATCCACTAACAAGTTATTGCAAGATATATTTTTACTCCCTAGTTCCCAATTCAGCTACTGATCAATTATTCTAACTGCACTTCTTCAACATCCTCCCATGTCCCGCCACTTCAAGTAAACCAGGCCTGCACGATAATGAGTGTATGCCCCGGCCACAACCAATATGTGAAAGAGCTGATGGCTATGCCCAGCAATGTCAAATTTCCCAGGCATCCATCGTTCTGGAATCCTTGTGGCATAAACCAGTGCTCCAATCCCATATAATACCCCCATTAGAATCTCATACCCAGTTGTGTGGAGAGCCTCAGGCTGGTGCCAGAACATGATAACCTTGTGCAGAATTGGTGCCACCCCGGATAAGCCCATGCCGAAGAAGAGTGATGCACGAATGGTACGGAATTCAGGATTCTGAAATACTGGTAGGAGAGAAAACAAGACTGTAGCAATTCCCAGAACTGTTATAAATCCCATGTAGAGGTTGCAAAAGAAGGGATTACACATAAAAGAATAGTAGACAGGAGGGTAGAAGGAGGTAGATATAAGAGCTGCTATTCCTGCATAATCAAGCCTGAGCATAATGTATGATAATCGCTCGGAGTGGCATGAGAGAAGGTGGCACGTGCTGCTTGACAGCAAGCAAAACATGGCCCCACCCATGAAAGCAAAAAATGGCCACCTTGTTATCGGTCTGACCATCAAAGGTGCTATTATGTTCGCTACATCCTCCTTCACGGTGCGCTGCTTTAGTCAAAAGTAAAAGAGTAATTAGCTGCATGAAACTCCCTGGATGAAATAACTGAATCAATAGTAAAAAGTTCGATTTTTAAGACTAAGATCGGTTCAATAAACATGGAACCCAAAAACAATACTAAAACTCTTAACATGTCCTTTTGTATGTAACATGGATCCAAATATAATCAAAAGTACGGATACCAATGCAGACACATTCTATGAGAGCAGATTTGAGCACAAGATTTCTCAGTCAAACTGACTGGAACACCATGTAAGTAACAACTACATCAAAAAACTTAAAAGTTAGTAGATAAGTGCCGACACTAGTATATTTCTACACTAACAAGAACTCCAACTACAGAAGCAAAATTACTAGAAGGCACAAACTGCACGGGCAAGCATATCTTTCAAAGAAATTAGACACTCTTCGCATGATCCTTTAGATACATAAGCAGAAAGGTCAAAGTTGTAGCCTCAAATGACAAAGAGATCTTGCATCCAAACATCACCATTGGTAACACTTGATTAGATCTTCACATAATATCAATTCAGTAAAAGCTTCTACTAATAGTATCCAACTCCGAGCTCATAATGCCCTTACTAGAAATCATAAAGCTTCAAGTATGTGTCAATCAACACAGCCTTAATTTAAAATGCTGAAAGACTTCAATATCAGAATTAAAATGCATCCCCAATATTTCAGGATTGATTAAAAATGCCTTTCAAGCCCTTAATCATGAGAAGTTCCAAAGTCAGAAGGCTCAGACAGATGGAAAGGCACAGTTTTACACACACTTTTAGAACACAACTAATGTAACATCAGCAATACTTCAAGAGAAAAGTTACTGAGACAATGCCTACACTCTCATACAACATCAAGAAGATAAAGAATAAGATTCTTCACAGATTTGCAACTCTGATGTTGTACAATGCATGGACAGCAATCAAAAGAATTTCAACAATAAGTGACACAGCTGTTATATGCACACACCAAAGGAGACTTTAGGTAAACCTCTCAAAAGTATGCATGCACAACTCTGTGAGAAAATACAAGTTGAACTCTACATTTCCTCCAACCAATGTGTAATGCCTTAACACATCAACAAGGGCACAGTAACTCAACCTTTCCAGGCCATTTCTTCAAGTTAAAAGTCATGTTTTCCATTAAAGCATGCAATCCATGACTAATTATACAATATATAAATATTGCAAATATTATGGCACCGAATAAGCAGCAGAATGGATAACCCTGCCTGTGCTGAGTTGAAGAAATTTAGGCATGAAACCTTTTTACTATACAATAATGTTACACTGATAAAGTTGGGATCCTAATTATTCATTCCGGCTTATGTGTGGTCGTTAATATGGGAACAACACAAAGGATGATACCATAAGTGATATAGCTAGCCAAATTAGCTACCACATCATTTGGACAGAAAGTTCGATCCAAATTTTGTAAGTATTAACATTATCTTTTGCTATATTCCGCCACATCGCCAGTTTCTACAACTAAAAAGGATAATACGGAAAGTTAAAACATAAAGAATCGCAATGAATAAAATACCAAAATCATGCAACTGTATAGTAATCTCAAAAATTAGCCATCAGCCTTGAAGCATTACCAGAACACAAACTTCAGTGTTGTTTCCATGGGAGAATCTCTCGGGCAAACAATTATATAAATGTTCCATGACATGCCAACTCAAAAGTGATGGAAGTAAATCCATTGAAGGCAATGTAGTCTTTAACTCTTCCCTAAGTTTATGCAGATTGGGCATATTTGGTAAAGAAGGAAGGCATGTTGAGAGTTCTGTGCGCAATTTGTGCAGATCTGTATTTTTCAACACCTCAGGAAAATGTTGTAGAGAATGAAGATCAACCACCCTTGGAACCTTCATTGCAGTATATATAGTAAGAGCAAGGAAAATGAAGAATCCAATCAAATGCCTGCAACACATAACAAAATTATGCTTCAAAAAAGCTATAGTAGGAAAACTCATTCCCTAAACCAAGTATCAAGTAATGAGTAGTCCAACAACTTGTTTTTTAAAGTTTAAGATTACGTGTCATTGGAAGAGACACATACATCTCAATATCTCATAGCTGTTAATCCTTGGATAGCTTAAAAACTAATCTCATAGCAACATTTTAACAACATTCAACTTATAAACAAGTATATTAAATCACAAGTTTATTAAAAAAAGAAAAAAACTACAGTAGTGTTTTGTTAGAAATAACTGGAATACTTCAACCCAAAATTTTTTAGTAAAATAATTTCCTCCTAACCGTAGTTTCAGTGAGATTTTCTAGTTTCCAAGGAATCACTGAAACAAAGATTGCAAGATAAACATTCTGAACCACAATTTTTTATCTAATTTTTCATTTTAATCAATTTGAAAAATAAACAAAACTTAACATGATATGATATCTACAAATTAAGTTTCCAATTGCAGAGCGAGCAGGGGGTCCAAGTTATCTCTTATAACTTAGCCTTACAGATAAAGGTAACCAAGACCTTTGGATTCTCATAGTAATTACAAATGGTATGATATCTGGAACCAAAGACATATAAATAAAAATAAGTTGGAGCAAATGAGTGATTTGGATACAACAGTTTTCTTTTTCTTTTCTTTATGAATAAATACAAGTCACTCGAAAATTTGTTGCCACACAGAAGTTAGAGTAGGTTTCTTCCAACATTAATAGCGTAGCAGATAATGTTTAAAGATAGTCTCTGTTTCCAGCACTGAATATATCCACATTTATTTAAAGTAATGGAGGGGAAATCAATTTCCTTCACTTCCCTTGTATTATCTTACCCTCCTATGATTATCTTCTAATGTCTGATTCATCTTCCCAAACATATGTTGAAGAAGTATGAAGAAGCATAAGTAAAAGCAAAAGTAGAGTTTTTCTTTTCTTTCGGAAAATTCATTCCTTTTCTCTTGCAAATGGAAACATTCAACACAAAATTAATAAATAAATTCCTGTCCTCGTAAGAAGAGCAGAAATTAAAACTATTTGACAGATCTACCATGCCTCTTAGCTTATTATGAAATATTTTTAACAGAAAAGAATCCAATCAATTCAGATATAACAAGCAAAAAAACTTACAAGATAAATCATCCTCAATTCTGTTATAAACTGAAAATACAGATGAATAGAAGAGAAACTTACGTCCAAACGTTCAATGTCTCATTATGGATGGTGAATATACTAAGCAAAATCTGCTTCAAAGGCCACTCTGATCTATAATGACCCACAATGTACTCATTATCCCTTAAATACCCAGGCAAAGAATGATATTCTACCAGCTGGTACTTCACTTTGTTCCACAATCTTCTCGTTTTCCCTTCCTTTGAAGAAGATTCTCCATTGTGAATTGTTTTACCTGACACTTCCCTGTGCTCACAACTTTGTTGCACACCACTCATTCTCTGTTCACAATTATCAATGAAAGGCATTAGCTAAAACAAAATTACTCTCAGCTTGTAAGCTGAAAAATGTCAAAATCAGAACTAAAAAAGAAAATTAAAAATTTGAACTCCAGATTTTTTATATGTAACAAATTCGTGGCTCCCAAAAGCTTCATTTAACTAATCATCATATGCAACTTCACAGCTAGGTGTAATCAAGTTAGGATTGTCAATAATTTACAAAATCCAACTGTTTTCATCTTCAATGTAACATAAATTTATAATCAATGGAAGAATGAAATATACGAAGTATAAATGTTCTGCTTTCCAATTTACAGTATTTTTTTTTCTAATTTTCCTTGTCTTTTCAAACAACCAAACATATGATCAGCAAATAAAGAAATGGTTGAAAGAAAGTACCTAAATTGAAGAAGAAGAACAAGAACAAGAAGCTGAAACTGAAAACCCAGACGGGGTCTATTCAGAGATCATATAATAACATATATAATAAAGAAAAGAAAAGAACGTTATAGAAAGTAGAAAATATCTTGGGGCTAGATTGCAAACAACGCACGCTATTGGTATCTTAGACTGTAATCAAAGAAAAATCAAAAACAGGAGCACAATATTGAATTGTCGACGTTATGAGAGTGACAGCTTCTTCTGAAGAAAAGAGAGAGGGACAGAAAGATCCGATGACGAGATGCGGAGATGCCAATGATGTTCTTGTTCTTGTTTTAATTCTTTATTAGAGAGAGATTTTTAATTAATCAGCGTGAGATTTGCTGGACCCCTCCAAATTTGGATAATTGCAGTTCATCTCACCAAATTTGGAAGCAATTTATGAGCAGTGGGGTGCATGCATTACAGAAATCAAACATATAAGGATTAAATAAAAATCTTGGGCGTACACAAAATGGAGGTATTTTTTTTTTTCAGTTATCTCCACTGTCTCTTGCGTATGATTTTATTAATTAATACGTGTATGGCTACGAGATGCCCACCAACATCCTTATAATTTCAACCTAAATGATTGGAATGGATTAAGTTTTCCGAATTATAATAAAATATTTATTATTGGGACATTTTGTGCTCACATTGTATGTGTAATGGTGGGCTTTTGACGCATCAAGATTGTTATCATATTATAAAAATTATTTTTAAAAAATATGTTATATATTGCTTGTAAAACATAATCTGCTAGCTGCGTTATAAGAGATTATGAGTTGTAACAAAACTTCTTGGATTAACACGTACACCCTGCCACATACTGCCATCAGTGTCGTGTCGTGTCGTGTTTATAAATTAGTTTGGATGTTCTCAAAAAATAAAAACTTAAGCATATTCTGAATAGGGATGAGCCTTTCCACCAGCCCATGGGGATCTGGCCCAAATGAGGGCCGAGAATCCCCAAAAATGTTAGGGATGGTAATAAAAAAATCTATGCCATTAAGGACGGGGCCGGGAGAGGGGATTATGCAATCCCTGTCTCGTCTTTTTTTATTGAGGATTTTATGTTTTTTTTTTTTATGGGGTTGTATATAAAGTTAAAATTTAAATCATAATTTTAACTTTTAAGTAATGTATTTAAATTTATAATATTTACTTTTATAATACTTTATAATGTTTGTATTAAATTTATAGAAAAAATAATTTAAATGAGGGAGTCTAATAATTAAATATATGTATTATTACTTTGTGAGCTTCACAAAATAATAATACGTGCCTAAAAAATAAATTTGATTAGATTATTATAATTTACTAAACCAGTATAAGAATATACACAATTGCTTAACGACTTACAAATTACACAAATTCAATTATCATTATAATTGATTAATTGAAATGTTTCCCATTCGAGGATAAATCCCTTCGAAGCCTCGGTCATCGGGTTGGGTCGAGATAGAGATGGGAGTGATTTCATCCCCACGGGCTGGGCACAGTCATGAGAATTGTCCTCGCCACGGAGGATGGTCATGGGAGTGGATATCAAGGACGGGGAACAAGGTCCTCGGCGCTGACCTGGCCTGTGCCCATCCCTATTTCTGAATATACTCGGTATTATATTTTAAAAATAATATTATGAAAATGAAAATACTAAATGCATTCAGATGTAGTAGAGTTTTAGTACAATGACTATTATGCCTAAAAATAAGAGTTGACACGTGCTGACTTCATCTCCAAGGGCTGACACGCGTTGATGTCATCTCCACCAATTAGGACTGATCTCTCCACCAACCAGAATTCGACATGCACCCAAAGACAATAAGAATATTAGCTGCACATCTATCCAAGCCCTATTTAATTTAAAGATGTACATGAGAGTTCTCAACGAATGAGAAGGCATGAATAATCTTCACAACATCGGGCCACTTACAAAAACCACTCATTACCTTGAACAAAAGGGGTATAAATAGGCAGCTCTCCCTCATAAAATAGAGGTTAGAAGCAGACGAATTTCACAAAGTGATGAATTATGGAATGTTGAGGATATCTATGCTAGAATCAAGCAGTCATTGATTCTCAAATCATTTGATTGATTATTGTAATATTTTGTAATTAAGAGTTTATTGTATTTCCTTTACAGTATTATTTCCTTTCCTTTATTGTATTCAAAGCCACTGTATAAATTGGCTGATCAAATACAATTCTCTCTCTTGGCTTGATATTCTTTGGTCTTCATTTTTGCCCTTTTATCAAGCTTTCTTGTAGGCATTCTTCGATAGTCCTCTGCCTCTTTTGCCACCTTCAATCTCAAACTCTGACATGGTATCAGAGCAATCCTTTGCTTCCGCTACAAAGCCATTGTTTCTCTAAACCTGCAAAACAAGGCAACAGAATTAGTTCTTCTAAACATCACAAATGGACCCAACCAAAATACCAATTGAACCAGAATCAGCATCCACAGCCACAAGTGAAGGCCCACACAACCAAACTCCACCAGGCCCAAACACCCACATTGGTCAACATTCTCCACCATAGCCCAACCAACAACCCGGATCCAATTTTTAACCCCGTTCATTCTCATTCGGGTTTATGGGTCCAAACTCTAACCCAACAGGTCAAAATCAACCCGGATCCAATTTTCAACCTGGACCATTCCTATTCGGGTTTATGGGTCAAAACCCTAACCCGATGGGTCAAAATCCCTACCCGATTTTCCAAATTCTTCTAACCTCCACCGGTCGATCGAAACCAGGGGATGCCCTTTTCTCGCCGGTTTCCGATGGATCTGAACTCATGCTCGTCAAACAACCGTTGGCCAGATCTCAAAATTACGCCACTTGGGCCAGAGATTTTTGGTGCGCTCTGGTAACCAAAAACAAGGAAGGGTTCATCGATGGAACCCTTCCCCAACCCACTGAATCGCATTTGATCCAACATTGGATTTGATGCAACACCCTCGTTCGCGCCTGGATCAGCAACTCCCTGACCCAGGAGATTACTGTCGGCTTGCCTTAGATAAAAAACTCTCATGAAATGTGGACGAACATCCGAGAGATGTACAGCCAACTCAATCTCGCAAAGATTTTTACTTTGCGTAAAAACCTTCTTGAAATCAAACAAAACAATCAGCCAGTCACAGTTTATTTCAATCGTCTTTCAACGATTTGGAATGAGCTCGATGCCGTTGAGGAACCGATTGAAGGGCCATCCACGATTCTTCACCAGATCAAACACCTGAAAGATCAAAACAGGTTAATACAATTTTAAATTGGTTTAAATGACAATTTTTTGGCTTTTCGAATGCAGATGTTGGCTATGTCCCCTACGCCATCTCTCCGACGCACCTACCAACTGGCCGTACAAGACGAAAGCCAGAGATCGGCTTCGTCAGAACCCAAATCCAGTACTAAAGCAGCTGCCTTCGTTGTCGATTCCCAACGGCGGTAGAGTGGACAATCTGAAATGAAAGCTAGAAATGACAAGGGGAGGCTAGGGCACACTGATGGTGAAAATCATAATTTATATGGAGGATTCAACGGCCCAGATTTGACCTCCTCATCCTACGGCTCACACACAACTGGGCTTAATAACTGTTTGGGCTCAAACTCAATTACTAGCCCAAATTCCAGAAATAGCTAAATATTTGTAGCTGGCCCAAACTCAGGCAATAACCCAGTCCACTCCACAAAGTTTAATTCCTCCCATGGGCCTTTCAAGTCCAACAAAAATCGTTATTGCGATTTTTGCAAAAGGAGAAACCACACAAGAGACACTTGTTGGAAACTCCATGGCCGCACCCAAAATCAACAGTCTGGATCTACCACTGCCAATCAAGTAAGTCACCCTGTTAATTCTAAGAGTACCGCTATGGTCCCTATGTTTAGCCAAGAACAATATTGTCAGATCCTGCAACTGCCCAATCAAAGTCCGCAGCCCAATACCACATCCTATGCAGGTACATCTTTTTGTTCCAATATTACAAAAGAAAATTTTTGGATAATTGATTCAGGGGCCGATGACCACATTGGTTGCGATCCCAAACATTTTTCCAACACATTTGCCATACCCTACACATCAGTTCGCATGCCAAATGGTACACATGCACCAGCCATCAAATTAGGAACTATTCATCTAAATAAACATTTAATTCTTCATAACGTCTTGTTTGTTCCTGCTTTCCATTTCAATCTCATCTCTGTTTCAAACTTTGTCAAGATAATGTCTGTATCTTAAAATTTTTTCCTAACAGATGTGAATTTCAGGACCGTTTAACTGGGAAACTGATGGGCTCGAGTAAAGTTCATCAAGGCCTTTATTACTGGATAGGTGCTTCTGATGCTAAAAATTCAATGTCTTGTATTTCTGAAAATAAAAGTTCTTTTAATACAAACAGTAATAAAACTTATTTTATTTTGCATCAAAGTCTAGGTCATAGTGCATCTATTCCACAACCCCATTGTCCTATTTGTCCCCTTGCAAAACAGTCCCGCACAAAATTTCCCAAACACACGCCTTTCACAAACCGTAAATTTTCCTTAGTTCATATGGACATTTAGGTTCCATATCACACAGCCAATCACGATGGCTCTAGATATTTTCTTACAATCATAGATGATTACTCTCGGGGAACCTGGGTCTATCTCATGCACTCTAAAACCCAGACACTCACTCATATTAGACATTTTTTGTCCATGGTCAAAACCCAATTTGATGTTTTGGTTCAACGAATCCGGACAGATAATGCTAGGGATTTTTTCAACACCCAATGTTCGGAAATTTTTTCCTCTCTTAGTATTATCCATGAAAGCTCTTGTGTCTATACCCCTCAACAGAAGGCTAGTTGAACGGAAACATTGACATCTTTTAGAGGTCGTCTGTGCCCTTAAACACCAAGCCAACATCCCTACTACCCTCTAGGGCGAATGTGGTCACGGCCACCTACCTGATCAATAGGATGCCGAGTCGGACTCTAGATGGCAAGACATCTTATGAAGTTCTTTTTGGTAAACCACCTATAGTTATTCATCTCCTCGGGCTATTCCATGTGTTTTTATGGGTTACCCAATGTATCAGAAAGGTTATCGACTGTATGATATCACTACAGAGAAATTCCTGGTTTCTAGGAATGTGGTTTTTCCTGAAGATTCTTTTCCTTTTTTAGACAGGTCCCCCTCTAATGACTCCCTGCAGTCTCCCAATTTTTTAGAAGATCCTTCAGCAGCGGACTTATCCAGCTCCTATTACACCATGCATCTCATTCAAGACATGGGACCCTCCAAGTCATCCTTTGAACCAGTTTCTACAGAGACGCAGCTTCCTAGTCCTATCCGTAATTGGTCCCTTCATTAAATAGATGTCCATAATGCCTTTCTTCATGTAGATCTTCATGAAAAAATTTATA